ATCCGATTTTAATTTAATTATCGCGTGATAAACCGAGTTTATTATGGTTATGTCGAGCCCGAGGAAAATCGAGAACCCGCACGCCTAGCCGCATCGAGCATTATTATTTTTCAGCCCAAAAGCGCTAAATATTCGGGCTAATAATTTCGGCCTCTTGATCGAGATTTATCGGCCTTTTATTTATTTTGGCCTATCAGCTTAATTATTTCGGCCCAATATCTAGCATTGAGTCCGGCCCATATGCAGGTAAATAATTTCAGCCATAGCTCCTTAAACCCTACGTCTCTAAGTCCACCTCCTTTCAAGAGAACCCGCAGACAACATAACCTGCTCTCTTTTATTTTTTTCTCTTGTCGAAAACGATCTCACGCCGAGGAGAGAAAATCCCCTCATCTCTCTTGCCATCGTCATCCCCCTCGTTATTCCCGTCGATTGTTGCTCCCTCGTTTCTTTCTCCCGCCCTCATCTCCTCCAAATTTTCCGGCGACCACCACCCTCAAGCTCTTTTCTCTCTCGCACAAGGAGCAATCGTCGAGCCCTCCTCGCGGGTTTGCCCTCCTCGCAATCTGAAGTTCCGACGACCAGTTCTGTCCGTGCAGCGCCTCCGGTGAGACCTCCTCCGCGCGCAGACGACCGCAAACAGTGAAACCGGTGGGCCCCTGCAACACCGACGAGTTATCTTCCCTCCACGAGCCGTCGCGATTAGTTTCCCGGCGAAACTCTCGACGACGGGCACCCTCTGCCGTGACCCAACCGCGACGCACAACAGCCCCGCGAAGTTTTTCTAGCGACCCCTGTTGTAATAATTTTTACCGGAGTAGAATCACAAGATTCGAACACCGGGTCGTGTCTCACGAGGAAGGTTAGCCGGAATACTTAGCACGTTTATTCAAGCACAGATAAAAGAGATAAAATTCCTAAACATTCTAATTCAGATGATTTGGTTTGATTATCAATTACGTAAAACTTCAAATTAAGCAAATAGAAATAGCAAAGCAAAGACGATGAACAAGCAATATTAAAGAAGCTAGGAGCAGGGGATATCCGTTTTGGCTCGAATTGCAACTATCGGGCCAGTGATCATTCGGTTAAATGGTCGAATAATTAACTCGTTCAGAGATTTATCCTCAATAACTCTTCGTAACAAGAGGACAGACGTGAACGGCGAATTAACGGGTAATTTAACACCTAGGCAATACCGTTACGAACAAGCCTAGTTTATACGAGCCTATTTCTATCGACTCCTCTCCTTTCGATTCTAAAAGTCGATTGAATTGAACTAGAAGGTGTTTAACCAACTAGTCCGTTTAGCATTAACAACATCATGCAAGAACGAATCAAATTCAATCGAAATCAATTGGAAATTGAAGTGTCACCCTTCAACAATTCTCAACTTTCAAGTATGATAATTGAAACTCTATTTAAGAACAACTCGCACAAATTGAACGATCAATGAATCCCAACAATCACATACGAATCCAAAACATTAATCCCCTATCCCTAGCTTACGGATTTAGCTACTCATCATAGATTCAACATCAACATAAACATCAATCCAAGCCATCATAATCATAGATAAAACAAAGAAAGAAAGCTTACAATTAAATATGAATCCAATGTCGAAAAGCAATGAACAATCCAAATCCTAAAGCTTACTCTTGGTGTTTTCACATTCCAAGATCAATTCCAAGTGAAAGATAAGAGAAAACCGAGTTCTGGGCTGAACAAGTACGAGAGCATGATAAAACCTAGGTTCAACGCCCTCAAAAACTGATCAAAAATCCGAAATAAAAATCTGCTCGTCGCGACTCCCGCGGCCGCGACTTCCTCCTCCGCGGCCGCGGTGAAGAAATCCTGCGGCCGTGACCATCTCTGAGGCCGCGAGCTCATCTGGCCAGTTTTGGGATGTTTTGGGACCCTCGAGGCCGCGACTTCTCCTCTCCGCGTCCGCGGTGAAGGAAACTGGGCAGCTGCGCGCTGCTTTACGTTTCGAGCTCGTTTGGGCTCGTTCGAACTCGGAATTGAGTTCCGTTTTTTTCCATGCATCACCAACGAACCCATGTATCCAGTTATACTCTCATAAACAACTTTTCCTGAAGAGAAAATTTGCCCAAAGCTCCTGACCTACACACAAAAAACGACAAAACACAAAAGAAAACCGGAAAAACAAACGAAAAACACCTAAGGACTCAAGATGAAGGAAAACACATAATAAAAAAATGAAACGGACTAAAAACTAAAG